ATAATTTTGTTACATATTATTTTTTCACTATTAATTTAATTAGTTAAATTTTATGTTGGGTTTATTAATTATTAATAAATTATTATTTTAATTTAAAAAGTTTAGTTTGTTTTTCTAATAAGATTTCTTATATGTTGGTGCATAGGTAGCACAATATTATAAACCCCATGTGCCTCTAAAAAATCACATTTTAATAAGGTTAAATGCTAAATTTAGTCCCTCAACTTTATAAAATACACATATGTGATCCCTTAACAATTTTTTGCATTTTTTTGATCCATTGACTCTAAAAATTGCACATTTTTGGTCCCTCCGTCAATTAAGTATGATGTGGCAGTTAAATAATTTCATGTGGTATTGTTTTTTTATTTTTTTGATGATGTGGCAATAATATATATTATAATTATGTTATATAAATTAATAAAAATACCACATAGATTAATATGAATATTTTAACTAAAAACAAATAAAATTACTTTATTACCCTCCCTTCCCAATCCCTCTTCCCTTTCTTTCTTTCTCTTTCTTTCTTTTCTACCCTGGGATAGGCTGGGTCCCATCGAACCCAGTTGTTGGGTTCGGTGGAAACCCAGCCTTGCTGGGTTTGTCGACCAGCCAAGGCTGGGTTCTTTGGAACCCAGCTTTGCTGGGAAAGCTGGGTTTGTCGGAACCCAGCAGCTGGATTCATGTTTTTTTTTTTCTTCTCTCCATTTCCATTCCCAGTTGTTAATAAATTTGGGAGTTGATTTACAATTTGATTGCATTTTTGTTAGAATTTGATTAAAATTTGATTGTATTTTTGTTGGAATTTGATTAGAGTTTGATTGGTATTGTTTATTGAAGGGTTAATTTGATTTGATAAGATCTGCAGGTTTGAGGTTTCAATGAAACCCAGTAGCTCAAGTTCCCCAAGAAAAGAGAAAAAAAAGAAATGGGTTAAGATCAGTTTTGTAGATGGAGCGGAGATGAGAAAGCATCCACATAAGAAGAAGAAATGGGTTAAGATTGATTTTGCAGAGAGTGAAGATGAGAGACCAGTTTGCAGGCAACGTGGGATCCATTGGAGGGGCTCTGGTGTGAAGAAGATGACATGTTATAAAAAAATATATAAAAAATGCCATGTGACCGAGTTAACGGCCCAAATTGACAGAAAGACTAATGGAATGCATTTTATATAGTTGAGGGATCAAAAAATTGTAAAAAATTGTTGAGGGACCAAATTTAGCATTTAACCAAAAAAAATAATTTGAGACAAATTTAAAGTCAAATGACAACAATTATTATGGGACAGAATGAGTAATATTTGTGTCAAATGAATAAAATTAGTTGAAAACTTATAAATTAAAAATCAATTTTTTCTTTTTAATACAAATTTATATTTCTAATAAAATAATATATATTTATTACATTTTTAAATAACATATGTTAAAAAAATCCTTATTCAATTGGCTAACTCGTGGTCCCTTTGGTCTCCATGCTGTTTTCTCGTTTTTCTGTTGCACCACTCCGTCCGTTCCATTTTAAGGTTTGTTTGTGAGTGCTTTACATAATAAGTTTTTAGATTGTACCGCATCTATAAAAATCAATTTATTATAAATAAGTAATTATAAATATTTAATATATTTTTAATAATTTTAATTAATATTTTATATATTTTTATCATAAAAAATTTAAAAATACTGTCACAACCTAACACTCCTAAACAAAGCTTTACCCTACGTTTGGACAGGGGGAAATAGAGGGGAGGAAAAATTTTCCCCACCGTTCTACATTACTCTCCCTTGCTTTTCCCTCATTTTGGAGAAATAATTAAATTAAAAGAAAAAATAAAATGAATGAAAAATTCCCCCCCTCCCCCCTCCTCCCTTATTCCTCTCCATCCAAACATATTAATTGTTTCACTTTGTAACTTTGCACATGTTTTGGACAATTTAAGGGTTAGTTAAAACTTCATAATTGGTGCTAAAATGACATTTATTTTTAGTGAGTTTTATCATTTTCATAAATATTTCCTCTATTCCAAAATAACTATTGTTATTTGATTTTGAGTTTATTCTAAATTAATTGTCATTTTTTTTTATTTTTTAAGATAAACAAATATTTTTTTAACTTTAATTTTATCAGTATTTATTTATTTTAATTAATTATCCTATCACAATAATCTTACTTTATCTTTTAGTTTTTTTTTTTCTAAGGATAATATAAATAAATACATAAATTATCTCTAAATCTTTAATTTTAAAAAAAATAGTTATTTTGAGACAAAAGAATTAGACTAGAATAATAGAGATAAAATTGAAATTATAGTATTTAATGTCTTTTATAAATAAAAAATGAGAAAAGTAAATTAAAACACAAAGTAAATTGGAACAAGGGGAATTGTTTTTTTTTTTTTTTTTCCATATATTTTTTTAGGTTCTAGGCTCTAAAACTGCACTACATAATGTTCACTTGTATGGTACATTTTTTATAAGTCTTAACTATAATAATATTGATTAATAATTAAAATGAATTTTAAATTAATAAATACAAAAGTTATTTATGATACAGATTAATTTATTTTAAACATATATCCAGTTTCATATCAATTAAATTATTTTGAGATATATATGATAAAGTAATTCATCAAATCTTCATTAATTTTTTTTATCTTTGCATCTTTAATAATTATTATTATATTTTATTGCAATTTATCTCCTCTCTCCTGAAAACCCATATTAGAAGGTTTTATACTTTCAGTGTTTTTCCATTTCCCTATACTACATATTGCATTAATTTTTCCTACACTATTTCTTAACTTACACAGATTTTGTACTTGTAATTATCTATTTGTCTATATTCACCATCACTCTCTCTATATTAATAATTTGTTTATTATTATTCTTACACATCTTATTCTCTCCCTATATTATTCTTTTCTAGTCACTCTAATTTACATTTTCATTGATCATTATACATTTTTTTTCTAATTCTCTCTCTTCCTTTATCTACATTACATATATTCTAAGGCAAAACATAAGATATATAACTTTTTAGTATTATCCTATTCATATATATATTTTTTACTTACCTTTACTCAACCTCGCATTAATTTTTTTTAAAAACAGAATCTCTTAACTTATTATCTCATATTTTCTCAATATATTTATCATTCTAAATTATATATGCTTTCACTTTCTCTTTCTACACTAATAATTTGTCTATTATTAATTTATTATTCTTCTACTCCTTATTCTCTCCTCTTTATCGTTCTTTAGTTACCGGTTGCATCTACATCTATTATTATTTATCTTTTTACTTAATTTTCCTCATTCTATCTATTAATTATTTGATTTTTTTTATGATTACAATTATAATAAAATTATTAACTATAAATATATCTCACATTATTTTTAAATGCATTAAGTCATAAAAAATTCTGACTGAAAAATATGAAAAAAGATTTAAATATATAAATTTAATCAATTTAATCTTAAAAAATAAAGACAAATTTTCTTAATTTATTACCAATATTAGTAAACTGCATATTGCTAAAGGCGTCATACCCCATCAAGTCAGTTGGTGACGGAAATACGAGACAAACGTCTTTCCTTCCATTTTCTCCATTTATTTTATGACTAAATTATTAGTTGGTCTCTAAATTTAGTAGACTAAAATCATTTTAGTCCTTTAATTTTTTATTATTATAATTTTAGCATCTAAGCTTTTAAAAGGTTAGGATTTTATACTTGCATTTAGGTTTGAATTTATTAGTTTGTTTCATTATTACAATTACGTTACTATTATGCATCTTGTTTCACAAAATAAAAGATGAACATACAGATGAAATAATTACTAATTAAGGACCAAACTGTAAAATTCTAAAATAAAAACTAAATTTTAAAAATTTTAAAAAGTTGAGGAGCAACACTATAGCTTACCGTTAAGAAAAGAAACAAAAGTTCAAAATGGAATCATGCGTCCGCACTCCGCAGCTCCTCGACCTTTATTTTTTAATTAGAAGGATTTTAAAAAAATCAGGTCAAAACCCAATAAGAAAGCGTAAATAAAATAAATAAGAAATCAAATTTTATTAATATTAGAATAGCAATATTTGATTAAATTATTTTGTAATATGTTGTAATATGTATGGTTTTAAAAGTCTATTGGTATCTATTGAGAAATTTTTTAATGTTTAACAGGTGTTTATTTATAAATTTTTTTAAAAATTTGTTGTTATATAAATTTTATATATAGTAAAGATTATTTATCATCTACTTTACATTCACTATTATTTTTTCTTTATATATTAATAATTACTTTGTTATTAATCTCCCTCTCCTTATTATTGTTCCCTCAATATATTTTTTTCTTAGTTACTCATTTCATCTTTATTATTATTATTATATATTATTTTTGCCTTAATTTCTCTCTCCCTTGTTATTTTTATATTAGAATTGTTTAATTTTTTATTTTAATGAATATATTAAAATAATGTAAGGGCTCTTAATTAATTTACTATTTTTATAATTTTTTGATAGTTTTAAGAAAGATAATATCAAAATATTTTAGATTCTTCATGGAGGCGCTTTTACTTTTAATTTTTTCCCTTGTAAGTTACTTACTTCTTGTTACCCCCAGATGGTCAGTTTAGAACTGTGTTCATCCATTCATTTTCACTTAGTGATTTAATTTTATCATTTAAGGTGTATTTAGTATGAAGATTAAAATTTAGTAAACAGTAATAGTAGATAGTGAGTGACATATAATAGATAATAAATAGTAATTTTTAGTTGATATAATTATTTAATTATAAAAATAATTAAGGGTTATTGTTCGACATTAAATGATTAATAAATGTATATTTAAAAATAATTAA